GTAAGTTAGGAGTTGTTAGGCCTCAATTCCTCCTACGCTGACGTCGGTTGCGTACGGTCGGTCGCGTACGCGTACGTAGCAAACTACGCGCCGCTGTCATCAGCGTCTAGTGTGGGGCTATATAGAACACAATGTACATTAGTATGCGCGACTGACGTACGCGACCGACATCAGCGTAGGAGGAATTCAGGCATTAGCTCTTCCCCGTCGATATAAGTCGTTTACTTCATAAAATTTTTATTTTTAACAGTTTACAATAACATTACAAAGTTATTAATGCAGCTAATTTTAGGTTATTTTCTATGGAGTTGTAACGAAATTTTTACTAATCCAAGTGCATTTTATAAGTTGGTCGACTATTAAGTACTCGTTTACTTCTTAATTCTACTAAAATATGATAGTTTTCCTTTTAATTTCATTATATATATACTACTATTGTGTATACTTTTCACATTTCCAAAAACAGTGGTTTAGATGGTAGAGTGGGGGGGGGGGGGGGGGACACATGACTCTAATGAAAAATTAATATTTCGCAAACGGACTCCGGATTCAAAAAGATGTTGTTCCACACCCCCAATGTTTTTAAAAGACCTATCCAACGATACTCCACATGATGGAATAGACGGGTAGTTAAAATCATCATCCAGTTACTTGTATGGGAAGTACCCAAATTAAAATTGTTTTTTAAGATTTTTCACAGTTAGGCGCATTAGTAGGCGAGATTAATATCTATAACTATGCACGGACGGACATGGCAAAACTATAAGGGTTCCTTGTTGTGTTATTACGGAACCCTAAAAATGACTTTCAACATTCTCTTCCTTACTCTAAGACTTTTTCAGAATTTAGATGATGTCTGCTTACTTTTTTACTTCTTTTCTCTTGTTACTAAAGTTAATTTTTGATAATGTGTAGATCACGTATTATAAGATAATATATCTAAAGCTTATGCTAAGGTAATCCAATTTATTACGTTAAAAGTTGTTGGTTTTCTGAATAAAAAAAAGATTAAAAAAAATTGTATTATTGTGCCGCAGACATAGCGGCGTAAGAAAATGGGGCGATGGGAAAAGCAAGAAAGATTTTAAGGATTCTAATATATATAACTAATATTTTGTTTATGTACCTATTTCACTTTTTTTCAACTGCACATCATAACACAGATATATCATAGACAAAATATAAAATAATTGCTTCATTCGCCTTGACATACCTCTACAGACTATTTAAAAAGGAACATTTGAATAATTACACAAAATTAAGTAGTAATTATTTGTTGGCATCATTTTAAAATTCTTTGGCGGCATTCTTTACTCTGTGGGACATTTTCACCACAGACTATTATGCGTTTGACATTGGCAGTATGAACGTAAGCACTGAATGTTTTATTTTATTTTATTTATCGTATTTTTACACATATTATATTAAATAAATGTTAGCTTTTTGTAATCCTTCTTAATATAAACTTTAATCCCCCGTGACCACGGGTGCTGGAAAGCACCCGAAACGTCGGGAATATAAAAAAAAATAAGTTAATATACGCGATAAAATCCGTAAAATTAGTTTTAATTAAAAATGTGTAGTGTTCGCGTAAATATAAGAAATCATTATATAAACTTTAATTATGCCAAATTTCACTCTCCTGAAATATGTTAAAAATAGGTTCAAAGTTTGCCCTCCACGTAAAGATAAAAAATAACAATATCATAATTTAAGAATTGATTATTTCTAAACTAGGAAAAACTTTTTGCACAGGAATTAAAGACTACCTATATTTAATTATTTTATAGGATAGGGTGACAAGCGAGCACACAGTCCACCTGATACCATCAGGTATGGTACCAGTGGCTGCTGTGGCCCATAGACATCTACATCTATCTTTTTTGCGAATTAATATGCAGATGCGTTGTCAGTCGTGAGGACTCCGGTTCTATACACTCACCATACGAAAGTGAGCAGCATTAAGCTGCTATTTTACGCTAGTATTCTGTGAGAGCATGGTCCTTCTTCGATCGAGCCGATCCATTCGTGCTACAACTATACTATTAACATATCTGCAGCATGGCTCTACCACGTAAAAAATATGAGAGAAGAATATGAATAATTAGTTACACGTAATTGTGAGCTTTAGGCGCTTCAATACCTTAAGATTTAGATTATTAAATTATTATCCAACCCTTGCAAAAGTTTGAACCGTCGGACAATGTTAAAATGTTGTTTTAAGTGGATTTAATTTTCATATAAGTTAAGGATACAATTTGGCTCAGTTCAGTCTAAAGGGATTTTAAAGCAAACATTCAATGTAATAAAAAAGTTTTAACTTTATATTACATTGAATGTTTGGAGTTATCCATGGAAAAAACCTGTATTCAAAGTAAATTTGTAACAATCCCCTTACTTGAAATTATCAATGAATTCTTTATTTGATTCTTACTTTTATGCCCTTGCAATTATAAATTTATTTTCGTGATAGAGCCATGCTGCAGCTATAGAAGGACCACGCTCTTATAGAACACAGGCGTGAAATAGCAGCTTGATGCTGCAGTGTTTGTATGGTGAGTGTAGAGAACTGGAGGCCCTTTCACTGGAAAGGAGACATTAGCCCTCAGGTGTGACCATGCATTTGAATTTTGATTCCTAATCTTTAATAGATGCAGATGTCTATGGGCCACAGCAAACGCTTACCATCAGGTGGTTACCATCGCCACCTTTATCCTCTAAAAGATTTAGATATAGAATGCCTTATTTTTCTTACTAACATTGGTTGAAAGACGTCAATATATTATTCACTACACCACGCCAGTCTACGCTACCGATAGCGGCGGCGAATCCTTGCTCTGTGTTCTCAATCTACTGATTGCTATATTACCACTTTCTTAGTGACTTTCTTTTTTCGAAAGAGGTGCCTTTACTCACTACGTAGGTCGAACAAACAAGGTGAACAAGCCGATTCTCTTGTAAGGGTATTATAGCTTGCAGTGCGGATTATGAGCACTGATGTGTGACATGTGCAGTTAGTGTATTTAAGTCTTCTCCATGGTATGAGGTTAAGTGCAGGAGTGACGACGTTAATAAACTTTTTGCAGGCATTTTGTTGCTATTTTACACTGGTATACTCCGGTCGAATCTGGCTTTGTAAAAGTTCCCCAGTCGAGCTATAGCTATATGGCTGTACCACGTATAAACTGCCATTGACCGGTTGTGATCAGATGGTTTTGGTGGGCCGGTTATGAAATTGGTTGCGCATGGAACTTTTGTTTCTTCGTGCGATTAACTTCAGTGCACATTGAACCGAACTGTCACAACAAGGTTTTCATAGAAGTAGCATGTGTTTATGTTTTTCTTCTTAAAATGCGTGCAAGGGTACGCCGAAAAAACACATTCCATCAATTATTAATAGGTTCCGGTGTTATATAAAGATTTAAGATCACGTCTTCACAAGCGTGCTGACGATAAAAGTATAATATTTTGAAACGATGACGATTTCATCAATTTTGGCGCGTGATTAAAAGCTTGTAGCTTTAAAAGGTTTTAAGGAGGTTGTTCTCCATCGGCCGATCGCGTTCGGATCGGAATTTTGTGTACCGTCATAGATTTCAGGCCAATTTAAGCGTTCATACGTCCTTACACCTATCCTAAATACCTATGTTGAAGCTGGTCGATAGTTTAGCCGGCCAGTTACTTTGTTTCCATGCGCGCGAACCTCTAGTGATTAGTGCACAGAATACGAGTGCGAGGTACGAAAATGTGTGAAAAAAATAAATCTGAACTAAATAGTTCCACGTAAATTCTCACAAAATCGTGTTGACTCCTTTGTTACCCCATTAGCCCATCACCAGTCAATAGGATTTAAGCCATGATTACAAGCCTATCGGGTCTGCGGTCACCGACCCGTCAAGCTCGGTGACATTGAGTGTGGGAAAATCTTTAAAATATTAGATCACTTAGCGTATTTATGCTGAGTAAAGTTATAATTTATAATAAAATAATAATTAAATTATTATTTATAATATAATAAAATAATAATAATTCATAATTTATAATTAAACATTTTGTACTACCGACTTCAAAATAAATTATTAAGAATAACTCAAAAATTATTGGTCAGGAACGAAGCACCAACATTCAAATAAAAAAGAATCGTCGAAATCGGGTCTCCCAGAAGAAAGGTATGAGGTAACACACATAAAAAAAGAAGTTGGTAGAAAAAACGGTAGGTAGATAATAGTTTTGTGTAAAGAGAATTTATCATTTATTGTATTTAATGTAAATTTGAGAAAGATTTGGAAATAAGAAAAAAATGCATTATGTAAAATATTTATTTATTACATGGGAAAACATGGTGAATACATAATACATCCCAGACGCAGCTCTTTAACTTCACGTCTCCAATAAATAATACAACAAGATTATAATTTTAGAAATAATATATTAAATATTCATAATAACATTTTGGCACATTCAAAACATTTAATATACAAAAATACTATGCAATAGTACCTAATTACTTTAACAGGTCGTATGCCTATTACCTATCTACGTTTGAATCTTATTAAATGTCTTTTCATACCAAATAGTGTGAACAGCATTTGGTGACTTTAATTTTAGGTTTGCAATAGTCTGTAGTCTAACTTTACTGCATAGAACGAACTATTGACAATTTCAAACTGTATGGAAGGGAGAGCTATATCAAGGAGTTTTAGAAAAATACACTTTCATTTATATATATTATTTGATTAAATATATCTCATTTTACATCAAAAATATAATAACACAACAACTTTATAACAATAAAATAGACTATTAATATAATATAATTCTTCTGTACGTGTGTTTGTAACTGAACTACTCCTAAACCGCTGGACCGATTTTGTTGAAATTTTTTGTGTGTGTTTCATTGGGTCCCTGGATAGTTTAGATTAACAATTGGACCGGTAGGTGGCGCTGTTGTCGCGATCCAGAAATCACCCGTGGGAAGACGGGACAGATCGATAATGTATTTATAAATGCTGAGTATCAGTTAAAGAATGCCACTGCTCGTGCCTATGATCCGGAAATTTTATGCAATCCATCCAATGTTTTAATCTTCTTCCTTTGCTGCTCGCACCTAGTACAAGACTACCCAGGAAGTCGTTAGGTTTTCCGTAGTCCTTATCCCAAAACGTCAGTGTTAAATTTTGGCGGGAAAGCTCAGTGGGACGCGTCTCAAATAAAAACTCTTCATTCCAAATTGGATTTAAGTTACGCCATTTTATTGACGTCTTGTGCTTTTTATGATAAGGATCTGGATCTAGGTGCCTGTAATTTAGAGATATCTTTAGTTAATATCAAAACAATAATTTTTTAATATGTTAAATAAGATGGATAGGATAAGGATATATATATGGATCAAGGTACTTGTAATTGAAAGATATCTTTAGTTGATATCAAATCAATAATAATTTTATACGTGTTTAATGAAAAAGGAAATCTAGATGTTATATAAATCCTTTTTCTTTTGCTATCGAGGAAGGGAATGATAACAGTAACATCACAATTTCGATTAACTACTTTTTAAGGAACAGATAGAAAGCTACTCACAACTTAACGAAAGGATCTGAATATCCATTACTGTCCCGTGGTGGAAGTTCGGCAGCCCTGCAAATGGTCACCACGAGTGCTCGCTTTTTCGTGCTATAGCAGAGAGCTAAGAGTACTCTAGGTCCTGTAGGTTCAGTACCGGTGGCTCCAGATAACGCCAGCCTGAGTTGAATCGGAGACTTGGCGCAATCTCTAAGAGAAACTGTAGCCGATCCCATTTCGTCACATCCGTACCTGTATGGTATAAATAGAGATGTTAAAACAGCGCTTCAAGATCTAAAAATAAAATACAAAATGTTGTTTTTTTTATACTAAATATAAATTTATTACCTATCGTCATCAAAAAGAACGATTTCTAAAGATTTCGCAGCCAGATCGGATTCAGTGATACCAAAGAAGTGAAGTGTTTCGTTAAATTCTGGATTTTTGGTCTTGTGCACTGTCTTTGTGCGTAGCCTGTTAGAATATGTTCCTTCTAAAAGATAACACATTAAAATATAGTTAACAATAAAAAAAAACAACACAATCGTATTAAAGAAATTTAATTTAAACTTTAAATAACTAATAAAAATAACCCGAATCGGAAAACTTATGTCCTATCTAATTTTTCTTTGAAAGCCTTTATAGGATGCGTCTTATGAAACATTTCTTCAATCTTGAGCTTATATTCTTGCAATGGCTTGCTCCCTCCTGTAAGTAGTCTGGAGCAGTTTTAACGTATATGCCGCCATTTGTCAACTGTCCGACACGTGGTGCACCCTGTTATACGACGACCTGTACAACTGCCTCGTACAGGTCGTCGTATAGCAGGGTGCACCACGTGCAGGCGAGGTTTACATTGGAAGAAGAGTAGGTGAATTTCACCTTACAATATTACGTTATAATATTCAAAACTATTAAATATTTTAATAGAAGGAAAGGTAATGCTATAATCTACTCGTATAACCCATAGACAACTACATCACTCATTTAGGGATCAATCACAAATGCGTTTTCACTCCCGGGAAACAATATCGCCTAAACGGGCGTCTTTTCTAAATTCACCAAATGAAACACGGAAAGTGTGGTTCTTCCCCGTTCGATCTGTTTGATATTGTAGCCATAATACATTAAAAAAGGTATATAACAATATAATTAAAATATTATTAAATTATATTCCATACTACAAAAGATATAAGGAAAAAACTTGAAATACCTCTAGGCAAAATTTCTAATCTACAAAATGGATCCGATAATCCAGTCATGTCCATTCCAATTAGACCCCTAGCTCTTAAAACGGTCACTGCGAGGGACGAAGTGCCGTTATCATAGGCTAGTTTAATTTCCAGCGTTCCAAATCCAGCATCGGGAATTGTTGTAGGTCTCTCCGGTTGAGTGAGTGGTTTAGATATTTCTTTTCTTATGCTGCGAATGCTGTAGGCACTTCCCTTGCTGCCTGTTCGCTTAAGCCCAGCAACAGAGCGTTGGTTGAGACTTTCAGTTCTGTGAAGACTGAGGCCGCTGACACCGTGGGAAAGGATATCGGTTTCGTTCCAGTCGTGATGAGTGTCCTTAAAGCAGTAAAAGTTAAATAATAGATAAATAACGCAATGCATATTTTTGATATGTGATTTGCCGCTTAGATGCGTGTACGAAGTAAAGCTTGTGGGATTACATGTAGGCTTGGGTGGAATATCATGGAAATGAAAATAATAACAATAGAACTAGATCCGAGCGGACGTCGCATTCGTCATGATTTTTTTTATTAAAAAAAAACGTTTCATTCACACTAGAATTTTCTCCTGTATCATTTTTTTTATAGGATAAGGGTGACAAACGAGCACACAATCCACCTGATGGTAAGTGGTAGCTGCGGCCCAAAGACATCTACATCTATCCTCTGTTACAAATCAAAATGTAGATGCGTTGTCACCCGTGAGGACTAAGATGGAATGCCTCATTTCCAGTAAAAAGGGCCTCCGGCCACCTGCACTCACCAAGCGAAACGCAGGGGTAAACCTCTACTTCACGCTGGTTTTCTGTGAGGTCGTGGTACTACCCCGGTTCGAGCCGGCCCATCCGTGCGACAGCAAAAGCTGCCGCGTGGCTCTACCACTGTTAATGTTATCATGGAGGCAGTTTACAAACATATATTGCACAAGGACAAACATCCAGACCCGGAGCAATTATTTGTAGGCCATACAAATACTTGTTTCGTGCGGAATTCGAACCCGCGGCCCCAAGCGTTGCAACTCATTGCTAAGCCACTATGCCACGGAGCCGTCAATTTTTTCAGATTTTTTTTCACTGCCGAGAACGTATTAAATTAGCATTTCAAATTGCAATTTACAATTACATTGGTCCCGGTGGGGATAAGACCGGTAGGCGTATTACGTATCTTGCAGAAGGCTAGCGATAGCGAAATTAGAACAATAATCTACATCTACACTACTATTATAAAGAGGAAAGATTTGTTTGTTTGAATCGAATAGGCTCCGAAACTACTGGACCGATTTGAAAATTTCTTTCACCATTAGAATCCTACATTATTCCTGATGAACATAGGCTATACAATATTTACAAAAAACTTAGGGATCCGTATGAAAACTTCGTTAATGTAACCTAAGGTGTGAAAAAAATACCAAAAAGAATCCTTATATCGCGTACGCTGCGGAAACTATTGATAATAGAGCAAAGTAATGTATGTCAGTTTTATAGAGGATATCAATATCTACAAAAAAGTCTGCGATACCATATGTTTAAATATTACAGTTGTGACACAATAACTACTTTTTCAAGTTAAAATGTCAAATAGTAACGACGGTACAAAATAGGCCACATTATTCGTATCAGTATCTATCATGCATAAGCACCAATTCCGTTACATGTAATTTTAGTAACATATTTCATTTTTTAAATCTTTGTTAATTCAGCAACCGTCCGTCGTGATGTCTCTCTCGAAGTTCGCATGTCGCAAGGCGCAGACGTGTGATATACGCGGTTGAAACCGCGGGGCACAGCCAGTTGTTGATAAATCGCAGATTCATATTATGTAGGTACCAGCGATAACCAAGCCCTATCTAAGTAGCGACCACAAGGCAGCGCTGTCGCTAGTTAGCTTAATTATCGCTGATACATAATACGAATCTGCGATTATCAGCAATTATTGTTCTAATTTCGCTATCGCTATTCGCTAACGCCTACCGGGTTTTTCGCGCACTTTAAAATTTACAGCGAGCGCTTAGCATATAAGCTACCATGGCTCTAAAAAGAACAACACCACATATAATACACTATTTACACAGTGTAAAGCTAGGTTTTTGTTGTTTATCGAAGTATACTATATCAGTCCATTACTGAACATGGGCCTCTCCCATCGTATACAGGATTTACGCTTGAAAATCGCAATACCAGATATCTTGCATTTTTGAGGCCCGTTGTTGATCTGTGTACTTTATAATGTACGTTTGGGGTATACGAGATGGCTAGAAGTCATGAGAGTTTTCTGCCATTTGTCATCATATGCCACAGTGTCATCAAACGATATCTACGGAACAACGTGGGGTCTAACCCCACAAAGTTATTTCCATAGCATAATGCCGTATTGATTTATTATGAAGAAAACGTCGTCGGAGTTTCGTCGTCGTCGAACGGTCATAGAAGAAGAAGTTAAAAAATGTTAAAAGAACCAAACAGCTTCTAGCCACGAGTTCGAATCCAACACGGATGAGGAATTTGTTTGTCTTACAAATAATTGTTCCAGGTCTGAATGTCTTTTTGTAGGATGTGTAAAGCGCCTTCATCATTTGGAATAAATTCCTAGTGTTTACTTTTTTATAAAAATATGTGTAAATATGTATGTAAATATTTTTTAAACGGTTTTATTTAGCTCACCCCGTTTGTTTTATTTATTATTCTTGGGTCAAATTTAGTAATTCAAATTTCAACCTCTTCCTGTCAACCGATTAATCTGAAATTTTGTATACACTTTGGATTTTGGTGACAATACAATTATGTTTATTCATTATCATTATAAATTCAAGATGGCCGCCGCTATAAAATGGCGGATTATTTATGTTTTATTAATCCCATCAATATGGGTATCAAATGAAAGGGCTCAACAAGCAGAATACAATATACTATGAAAAATTGAAATACAAGATGGCGGCCGCTACAAAATGGCGGATAACGTAGGTTTTATCGATCCCATCAATATGGGTATCAAATGAAAGTGCTCAACCAGTATAATACAATGTACTATATAAAATTAAAATCCAAGATGGCGGCCTAATAATAAGATTTAAATTTAGAAATTGAATCTGTAATTTAGGTATCTGATTAATCCAGCCTGAATCCACCACCCAAGTCAAGATTTTGTATCGTGTTGAGGACTGTGTGGCGTTAAGGTGGCTAAAAATGATACGTCGTTAGCGGTACACCACCCAAGTTAAGGTGAAAGGTTAAAACGCGCCGAGAACTGTATGGCATTAGGGTGGATAAAAATGATATGTCGTTAGCGTTTTCCCCTCAAGACTCAGGCGCATCTTGTTGTACATAGCCTTGCCCCTTTATTGGACCTCTGGGGGGGTCGACCGTTTAAATGTCCATTACTCGTGGGAACAAAATGGTAAAAAAAAAATATAAAAAATACAAACACAAATAAAACAGAAACTGCAACACAACGTAAACGAAGGCTTCAAAAAGCGAAAGAAAAGTATAAAGCAAAACGAGCTAAAGAAAGTGAAGGTGATAGAAATAGTCGATTACAGAAACGACGGGAACAATTAGCGTCAAAAACACCTGAGCAATATGAGGCCAGGTTAAAAAAGCAACGTCAGCGATATACACAAATGACGGCGTCAGAAACGCCTGAAGAATATGAAGCCAGGTTAACAAAGCAACGTGAGCGATACACACAGATGATAGCGTCAGAAACGCCTGAAGAATATGAAGCCAGGTTAACAAAACAACGGGAGCGATACACACAGATGATAGCGTCAGAAACGCCTGAAGAATATGAAGCCAGGTTAACAAAACAACGGGAGCGATATACACAGATGGTAGCGTCAGAAACGCCTGAAGAATATGAAGTTAGATTAATACAAAGCCGTGAAAGACAAAGACAGCAGTTGGGTTCAGAAACGCCTGAACATCGCGATACGAGGTTAAATAAACTACGAGAGCGTACCCAGCAATGCAGAGCTAATAATCTGCAGGCATTCGAGAATGCTATTAACACAATTTGTATACATGTTTGTGATATTTGTACCAAACGTTGTTATCCTAATCAAGTTCGTACAGTTCGGTACAACGCTGCTGCATTAACATACTTACCTGTGGAGTTAACTTCGAAAATATCATTGTTATTATGTTCCCGCTGTCAAACACATGTTACTAGTAATAAAACAACAGCACCACCAAAAACTTACTGGAATTATCTGGATCCAGGTTCTATACCAGACGTTATTCAAACATTGAGGCGGAACAACGTTTGCTGTGCAGAATAATTCCCTTTGTTAAAATCGTGAAATTTAGTGGCCTCAATGGGCAGTACGGTTTTCGCGGACAGGCAGTTTTATTTGCCCAAGATATCTTTGAAGTCAGTGAAAGACTGCCTAGTATGCTACCAAGATCTGCAAGCCAGGTAGGCATTATTGTAGTAACCGAACGATTAGAAAATTTGAACATCACCAGGGAATTCACAATATGTCGCGAAAAAGTCTATAGTGCTTTAAGATGGTTAATCAGAAATAACCCGCTTTACAAAGATATACGTATTGACGACAATGCCCAAATTAGTGACCAGGAGTTAGTACGACTTAGTGTGCCCGAATTGTCTGAAGATGAAGCGTCCGAAAGGAATGAAAATGAAATTCGAAATGCATTCATTCCAATTAATAATGTTGCAAGAATTATTCGAGCTTCATGGCATCAAGGTGACTACAACGTCTTTACTTCGCGATATGCTGGTGTACAATGTAGTGCTATGTCGTTGGCGAACATTGTCCGAGCTGCAATCCTAAGCCCTAATCAATGGGACGTCAATATTCTGAATGCTAATATGTTAGCGGGTGACTCCTTATATTGCTGGATTCGTACCCAGCTTGATCCTACTGAACTGGATGAAACAGGATATTTAGATCCTGCTTTGCTAAAAATGTGGAAAGCCAATATGGATATACAACCGTGTGGTACAAATGAGTCGATTGCGTATTACATCGCTAAATACGTGTCAAAATCAGAACCTACAAACCTAGATGGTGAAGTATCTCGAGCTATTCAACAAATTAGAAGAGAAGAAACTGATGTTTCGCGTAAGCTGTTTAAAATATGCATGCGCATATTAAGAGAACGTCAAGTTTCAGCCTGCGAATGCGTAATCAGGCTATGCCATATGAGTATGCGTGACAGCTCGAGAAAAACAATTTTTGTCAATACTCGTAAAGCGGAACAAAGGTATAAAGTGTTGAAGTTTAATGAAGCTGGTCAAGCAGCAGGATATTGTGCCAATATTTTCGAACGATATGAAAAGCGACCAGCAGAGCATCCCAACTATGATTTTAACAATATG